TTTCATATGCTTGTCAGTCGTTAGTATGCTTTTTGAAGGATTGTTTATTTAAGTCATTTGCCTATTTTTAAATTGAGTTGTTTGTTTTTTATAATTGTTAAGTTATAGAAGTTACTTAAGTATTCTATTAACTCCTTATCAGATATATGATTTGTAAATATTTTCTTCCATTCTTTAGGTACCTTTTTATTTTGTTGATTACGTTGTTTGATGTATAGAAGTTTTGAAGTGTGATATAGTCCCATTTGTCTATTTTTGCTTTTGTTGCCCATGTTTTGTTGTCATACCCAAGAAATAATTGCCAAATCCAATATACTAAAGTTTTTCCCCTATGTTTTCTTCTAAGAGTTTTATAGTTTTAGGTCTTAACATTTAGATCTTCAATCCATTTTTGAATTAATTTTTGTATGCTGTATAAGGTAAGGACCCAGCTTCATGCTTTTGCATATCGATCTCCAGTGTTTCAACACTGTTGAAGAGGCTGTCTTTTAACCCCATTGTGTGGTCTTGGCACCTTTGTTGGAAATCATTTGACCGTATATGCAAGAGTTTATTTCTGGGCTCCCTGTTGTGTTCATTGGTCTATACATCTATCTCCATGCCAATGTCACACTGTCTTGACTACCGTTGCCTTGTAGTATTTTTAAAATCAGAAAGTTTTAGGCCTTCAACTTTGTTTTTCTTCAAAATTGTTTTGGCTATTTGAGGTCTTTTGAAATTCCCTATGAATTTTAGGATTTTGTTTTTAATTTCTGCAAAAAAAGCCATTGGGATTTTGATAGGAATTGCATTGAGTCTGTAGATCACTTTGGGTAGTGTGGACATTTTAATAGTATTAAGTCTTCCAAACTACAAGCATAGGATGTTGTTCCATTTATTTGTATTTTCTTTGATTTCTTTTAGCAATAGTTTATAGTTTTCATTAAATATTCTTTTATAAAATATATTGCATAGTAGCCAGGAGGTAGAAACAACCCAAATGTCCATCAACAGATGAATGGATAAAGAAAATGTGGTATATATATGCAATAGGATATTACATAGCCTTAAAAAAGAATATGTATGTATCACAATTAACTTTGGCCATTTTCTATTCTAGGGACATTTAGGAAATCTCTAATTTTTCTTGTTTAAAAAAATGTGCTAAACTTGCTAAACATACTAGCTCAATGTAAAATGAAAACTGAAGGAAATAATAGAGAAAATATCTTTGAGTACTTGAGTAGTTCTCATGGAAGATTATTTTAAAGGACTAATGAAAGTAGTTTCTATTCCCATTACAGAAGCTTGTTACCGGCCGGGTGTAGTGGCTCACACCTGTAATCCTAGCTCTCTGGGAG